TCGTGATGCATATCGGTCATCAAGGTACAGATACATACATGATGAATAACACTGAAGTACCTATTGTCCAGACACACAATTACTTAGGAGTCATCGTTAGCCAAGACCTAAAGACTACTGCACACTGCCGTGCAATATCCGCCAAAGGTTTCAGAACTTTGTAGTCAATACGTAGGACGTTTAATCATATCGACGCCAAAATGTTTCTGACTTTGTATACAGTATTCGTGCGTCCCAAATTTGGGCACTGCATACAAGCGGCTAGCTCCTGCTTGAGAAAAGACAGTGAGCTTTTGGAAAGGGTCCAGAGAACAGCAACTAATCTGATTCCTGGAATAGCGAAGCTCCCGTGTGATGATAGACTGACCAAGCTCAAACTATTCCTTCTGTCATATCGAAGAACTAAGGGCTACTTGATTGCACTTTGCAAATTGCTTAGTGATAAATTTGCACCTGATATGCCCTTATTTTTCTTGTCTTCCAAAACAGAAAATTTACGTAAGCACTCCAAAAATGTTCGCAAGCCCAGAACGAATTGCTCAGCTGACTATAGACTTTCCCATCGAATCGACAACGAGTGGAATTCTTCACCTCAGCACGTGGTTGAGGCAACATCCGTCGACACTTTCAAAAGAAAGTTGGATCAACCGAGAAACCATAATCGCCAGGACTAATACAGGCCATCAAGCCTCCTGTTCCTTCCAAACTGAAACTGACTAAGATCACCAGTACTGGAAGATTACGCGTCAGATATAGAGTTGGATCCCTCGGTAGGCCAAAAACCAGAAGGCTGTTGACGGTTGCAATAAGGTATATTTGTTGGCAATATCGAGGTATCGAAAGAATACCGAGACGTGCAAAAGTTTACAAACGGTACTACGGAGCGTATGAGAGTTCGTGCAAGGTCAAAGGCGAAGGAAGAAAGTGTATGTTTTGTACACAAAAACAAACAAGTAGAGTAACACAATTACTCGTAAAATTGGACAAAATAATAATTGTTTCCATTACATCGGTCGCATTCTCTTCATAAAAGTAGGTCACTACGACGGATTGAATAAATTTGACCTCAATCAGCAATGCACTTCAAATGGTTCAAATGGTCCAAATGATTGAGGACGGAATAGAAGAAGCTTTCGCTTAATGGGCTTCCGTGTCTAGTTAGCAGTGGATCACCAATACCACCAGGCAAAAATCTAGGTATATGAACGATAATAGAGGGAAAAAAGAATTTGACAAATCATAATAATATGTTATCCTTAGCCCTTAAGAATAAGTCAAGTTTCCTCTTAAAGGACTCCTGGGAAGTCGCTTGGATTAGCTCAGTCGGCAGCGAATTCCAGAATTTGACAACTCTAACGGAGTAGAAGTTGTGTCTGTAGTCTGTTCTGCTATGTAGGGTCTCCAGTTTCTGGGTGTTACCTCTCAGGCTAGTGTTGTGACTAAGCTTAAGAAGATGTTTAAGGGGATGACCAGAAGTATTAAGGACACTGTAAGTCATAAGAAGGTCACCTCTAAGACGCCCGTACTCTAACGGGTAAAGGTTAAGTGATTTGAGGCGCTCTTCGTAAGGTTTGAATTTGAGTCCCTGAACTGATTCCGTGGCTCGACGTTGAATACGTTCCAGAGTGTCCTTATCCTTTTGAAGGGAGGGAGGAAATACTATGTTTCCGTACTCTAAATAGGGACAAATAAAACTGTTGAAGATTATGTGGAAGGTTCTATCGTCAAACTGGCCAAAAATGCGTTTCAATGTTTGCGGTGCAAGGTTTGCTTGAGAGGCGTTTTTGTCACAGTTCGCATACGATTTCAGGTCGTAGGGTACCAACACTCCTAAATCTTTTTCAACTTGGGAAACTTCTAGAGGTGAGTTACCTAAGTTATAACTATAGTCTGCAACATGTCTCAGATGGACTGCCTTACACTTTGAAGTGTTGAAGGTAAGTCCGTTGTCGTCTGCCCAACTTTGAAGTCGGGTCAGATCCTCCTGAAGAACTAGTATATAATTATGACTACGTATCTCTCTCCAAAATTTCACATCATCAGCAAAAAGCAATAAGTCAGATGAAACTTGTTGAGGTGCATGTCACTTGGCGTTTTCTGAAATATACAATTCTCCGAAAGACATATATACAACTAAGCTAACCTACAGTCACTCTTTCGAACGGGAAGTCTAGTCCTAACGTGACTTGCTTTTATCAAACTTTTTCTGTGTTCTTACGCAACAAAAGTACCATTTCCTATCTAAAGAATTTATTCTCAGCTATACGTTCGGTACATTACTTTTTCGAGTTTCACTCAACTCAAGGAATATCCAAAACTTGGATATGGTCTCAGTTTACGGACTTGGAGCTAACAATACTTGGAATGTCTTTATTTCGTAACGACAGGAAAATCGGAATGGGGTGTGTGGGGTGGCAGTATACCTACGATCATGCCTGGAGGCGCACCAACTTCACAACCAAGAGTTTCCCAACCTTGATGAATCAGTATGGTGCTCAGTAAGATTGTCTACTACCTCAAGGTGTCTAGTTGAGGTCATCTACAGGAAGCTAACAGCCGACATCGAGTATGACAATCGTTTGTTGGAAGGATTAACCCGCTCTACGCGTCTTGGTTTGTCTCATATCCTGATTCTAGGGGACTTCAATCTTCCTAGAATCAACTTCACGGAACATACCTACATTGGAACTGACAACTCTACTGAAGCTCGGTTCTTCAATCTCATCGATGATCTGGAATTATTCGAAAATGTGAAGTCGGCAACTCGTTGGAGAAATAGTCAGACGCCGTCGCGCTTAGACAGGGTATTCACAAATGAAGAATTCCTAGTTGACGGCCTCTCAATCCTGGCTCCCCTGGGGAAAAGTGATCACACCGTCTTATCATTCAGCTTTGTCAGCAGAACGGAGCTAAGATATCCTACTAGAAACGAGCGCTGGAACTTCAAACGGTTGAATGTGTGAGCTTTACATGACTATCTATAACAGATGGATTGGGATGTTCACACTAAACTTGAAGTGGATGCTCATTGGGATTTCTTACTGCACACGCTCTTATGTGGTACTGAGCATTCAGTTCCTCAAGTGGCCCCAAAAAGTTACAAATAGCCTACAATCATTAAGAACCGCACTCTTCGGTTGCTAAGCCACAAAAGGCACTGTTGAGCAGAATATAAAAGAACTGACAAAAACGGAGCGTACAGGCAATACAAACATATGTAAAAAGGCAATAAGAGAAGACAGGCTTCAGTACCAGACCAAGCTTAACGACAAATTTGTTTCCAATCCGAAAAGCTTATCCCGTTATGCAGCCTCTCTTCGACAAGGTAAAACTGGAGTTTCACAACTGCTAGGTCCTAACGGTCTGACCTATAAGGATGGTGATGCCGCGGGTCTTTTGGCTGAACAATGCTCTCAGATATTTCAGCCGACCCATACCAACTACGCTGACGAATGCTTCACCTGAACCTGCACAAGACTTTCCGAAGTAGACCTGAGCGCTGACCTGGTGCTCCGTAAACTGCAGCACATCAGAAAAGTCACTTCTCCCGGTCCATATTTGGTATACTCTGCTGTATGGAGGGAAGCAGCTTCAATCCTGGCATCACCACTTAGCGTCGTGTTTTCACAGCCGCTAAGCCGAATCAAACTGCCGAAAATTTGGAAGCTGGTGCACATCACACCAATTTTCAAAGGAGGTCGACGCAGTGAATCCTCAAGCTATCGACCAGTAGATCTTCTTTCTATACCTACTGAAATTATGGAGTCTCTAATATATGACGGTTTAAAGGAATACTTATTGTTATGACTAGTAAAAAATGAGCAAGGGACGTATGATTATTCATTATTGACTTTATATCCGGTTTCTATCACGTGAATTATCCACCAATGGGAATACGACTTTTCCGACTTTGACACTGTGACAATCAATGACGTTCGATCAGTATGAGTAATCTAGCGTCATTATTGGTCCTTATCCGCCTAGTCCTTCCATTTGAGTCCAGAACACCAATGACAACTTATTCTATGCGAATCTATGCGAATCGTTTATTTCAAACATACTCTGCTTATATACTAGACAGACAGACCACATCACACCGTAAAATAGAAAATAATATTTGTACAAAATCAAACCAAATGTAGCTGTGAACGTGGGAGACAATAATCTTAAACGATTAGGTATCAAGCCCTCTCTGATTGACTGGCTCACTTCATATAGAAAACAGACATTTTAAGGTCAGAGTTAACATCATTTTCTCTCAGGCTATGGAATGTCCTAGTGGGGTCCCCAAGGGCTCAATACTAGGACCTCTTCTCTTAATGATTTACATTAACGATCTTCCACAACAAGTTTCTTCTGACTTATTGCTTTTTACTGATGATGTGAAATTTTGGAGAGAGATACGTAGTCATAATTATATACTAGTTCTTCAGGAGGATCTGACCCGACTTCAAAGTTGGGCAGACGACAACGGACTTACCTTCAACACTTCAAAGTGTAAGGCAGTCCATCTGAGACATGTTGCAGACTATAGTTATAACTTAGGTAACTCCTCTCTAGAAGTTTCCCAAGTTGAAAAAGATTTAGGAGTGTTGGTAATGTGACAAAAACGACTTTTAAGCAAACCTTGCACTGGTAACATTGAATCGCATTTTTGGCCAGTTTGACGGTAGAATTAAACATTTTCTTAAGCTTAGTCACAACACTAACCTGAGAGGTAACACCCAGAAACTGGAGACCCAACATAGCAGAACAGACTACAGACACAACTTCTACTCCGTTAGAGTTGTCAAATTCTGGAATTCGCTGCCGACTGAGCTAATCCAAGCGACTTCCCAGGAGTCCTTTAAGAGGAAACTTGACTTATTCTTAAGGGCTAAGGATAACATATTATTATGATTTGTCAAATTCTTTTTTCCCTCTATTATCGTTCATATACCTAGATTTTTGCCTGGTGGTATTGGTGATCCACTGCTAACTAGACACGGAAGCCCATTAAGCGAAAGCTTCTTCTATTCCGTCCACAACCATTTGAACAATTTGACCTAAGACACTTGAAATATAGAATTGGCGCCTTTAGGCGGGTCGCCCAAGGTCGCTGGAACGGATAGCAGGTAACTTCACTAAGCCGATTTTCATTTTTCCTGCTCCTTCAGTGCTACTAGTCAAACTCAGTGAATATGAGAGATCTGAAGAAAGATGAGTTCGATAAAGTTGTAGCCAAACTACAGAAATAGTAACTCTGTGATATATCCTCAACAGTTTTAAGTATTAAAGATGTCGATGAATTATTAAACAGACCAGACGACAAGTACAATTTCTACTACCATCGTGATCGTGTCTTTTATTGCCGGTTAGCTTCAATTTATATTCTAAAATGTGCGTTCAAAACTTTTAGTTCAACGCTCGCAAAACACGCAGCATCAATCAAGAAAAAACATTTGCTAAGCTTTGGAACTTGTATTGGTCGCTTCTCGAAAACAGGCAACTTTAAACTCCACATAACTGCTCTCGACTTCTTATCACCGTATGCCATGTTTCGTGTATGGTTAAAAGCATCTGCTGAACAGCAGTTTCTTTATGGACAAAATGTTTTGCGATCAGGTGTCGCTAAGATGTCGGACAACACTCCACAGTACGCCGGTGTTGTTGCGATGAACATGAGTGATATGCCTCTAGTAATGTACACAACGAAAATTCGTATCTAACTTATCATTTTCAGGGTTTCGGGGTTGCTGCCAAGTCATCTCTGCAAGTAAAAAACACTGATCCCATGACAATAGTCCTCTTTCACCAAGCCGATATTGGGGAGTATATTCGATCGGAAGAAACTATCGTCTGAAATACATGAATAACATTACTTAATACTGATTTGTTCTGTTCGTATATAAACTTTCTTTGAACACCAAGTTGTTAGCTAAATGGCTTTAAAATGACGAAAACGTTACTTGGAGACCATGCTATCTTGTTTAAGACAGGAGGTATGTATACACAACTGTTCAGGTGTAGGTTTATGGGTCGCTAGTTTCAAATATTTGCCTTCCATACTCATCGGGGTTTTTATGTATGTGCTTGCGTTTTTATTGTATCCCAGTAGCATTTACTTTCCTCATTCAGGCCAATATTATGTGCCACTTCAAAATGATCCAGTTGCAAGTGTGCTCCTCTTTGTACTTAAAAAAATTATTGTTAGTGAGATTCCTCATGTGGTATGGACTACCATATTTTGGAAATCAAAACTGATAATTCACTTGTAAATAACTTTAGATCTATGTTTGCGTTGTTCATAAAGATCAATATCAAGAAGCTATTTTTAATATTGAAGGAAAATTTAGATTTAGGCATAGAGCCGAAAAAATGTGGATCATAACTTCAGTTTAACATTTGGTAGACGCTGTATTACATGAATGCAAAATCTACAAAATATGTAATTTGAAAATGTTCATTTCTGGATAAATTTATTACATACTTCATACGCAGTTATATCACCAAGTAAACGGTACTGAGGTCAAGTACTATCTTCTGACCAAGTAGGGTTACGTTGTAAGCCTGCAATTCAAGTTTTATGGGTCATGCTACATATATCAGCCCACCGATCATTCAAATATGTGGCTCAGTGGTTATCATAGAAGCTAAAGTTAACTAGATCAAGATACGACACAATTGTGTGAGGTTATCCAGCTCGATACAAGCTGTAACTTTCACTATGCGAAGGTCGGTTTTGTCTTTCAAACTATCAGCGTACAGAGATTCTGTTTATTTGACGGAAAAATAAAGTCCTCTACATATGCCGTAAGTAGTCTAAAGTGAAGTGCGAATAGCAACAAATTGCCAATTAGTATGGGGTTTAAGTAATACGAACACCAATCCTTACTTAATGTAACTCTCCTGACGATTATGTGTTTGTGATTTGCCTTAAGCCACATTTTATTCGAAGATCATTGGGACTATCTGGCTTCTCAAATTGAAGAAGGTTGTGCGGGTTCGAATACGTGAAGTGACAGCTCAAATCCTGATAACTTGTCTGCGGTTATTACGCAGTGTAGCAGTGATTCTCACCAACTAATGAATGAAATGGGTTTCTGTGACTAGTTGGTCTACAAAATATCCCTTCATCGACATTGAATCGGGTCAATGGTTTTCAACCTCCACTAGCCCTCCCGTTTATTGTGTAAGTGGCGCATTCATGATGCTCCAATTCGTTAGTGTGTTGAACAAGATAAAATCAACGGTCTAACAGCTGATGGTAGGTATGTACTAGTCGTTATTAATCATAAAGTTTAAACAATCACACTGTATGGTTTGCATTCATGTTCCGTTCTGCTAACTACAAAATATTCCAGTCTTTTTTTCTTTACTATTATTTCTGTCTAGTCAAACCCCTAGGCATTGTCAGGTATACAGTCTCTTTGATTGTCTTAGAAACTAAAAGTACAACTATAATCAATATAAAACGTTTTTGTCAGAAAAAATAGTAAATATGCTGTTTGGGACGAATTTTATCTTTATCTGTAGAAAAACCGTAAACTTCCCGAATTGTCAGATTCGGGCACATACAAGAGTTGCTAAACAGAAACGTAAGCTACTGGTGTCACGAATCTTGAGTTTCCTTTGTTTTGTACTTTTCAAGCTATCCTTCATATTATCAAATTCCTTCTAAGCACTTTGATGCACAACCTACATTTCCTCTTCTGACAAACCTCTAGTCAGCAGGAAAGTAGAACTACTTGCAAATAACTGAGTTTACTCTTTAATATGAACTTCATTAAGTTACGGATTTTATTGTTTTCAGTATCTGACCGTTGATTTCTGGATCACATTATTTTCTTCTCTCATGCTACTGGGATGTATGATACAGAACACCATTTAAAATTACATAAAACCAGTAATTTACGAACCTCGACAACAGTTCTTTATTATGTAATTAGTTTCCTAATTCCTTGCATTTGGGAACACTTCAAGATTGCAGATTTCTAGAAAGATTTCCCAGTGTTGTTTTTAGCTCCAGCCAACTGATATTTACTGATAATTTGATTCCTAATCAAGTTTTGGATTTCATGTTTCAGAAGGTTTGTGTTTTAAGGTACTTCAGAGATATAAACGTACTCACCTGCTTCGGTCTGGGCACTCGGGCATTATCACAGTTCTCACACAAGTCTAATGAGACGACATTTTATGTGGCGCATATATATCTGGTGCTCCCCCAGTACCAATGTTTATGTGTTGAAAAAATGAATAAATAAATAACCAGTAGTTAATATTCCGCTTTCAGCAGTTTAAATACTGTACTTTCTCTCATTCTATTTGAGGTTTCACTGAAACTTTAAAGTATGTTTCGTTTGTGAAGAAAGATTTGGTTTTCTTAAGGTGGAAGTTGATGAATTTCTGATTGTTTTTCAGTACCACATCTATATTGGTCACCTACTTCCATTCATCAGAAAATTATGATATTCACGAGCATACGTAACCTTGAACTAGTTAGGACCTAGTTCAGTACGTATTTGATGTATTTGTAACGAGATATGTTGAACTAATAGGCTTATTGACGCGAGTATCTGAGCTCAATGGGGTTGCGGAAACCAGTATTTGTTCCGTCCCTAGTGAATTATACTGTTGGCATTTGTGGGCCGAGGTTATTTGTTAACTGTTAGCTCATACATATCAGCCATTCCAAAATTTAATAATCAGTCGAGTTATAACTCCTGCTGAAAGGACTGAGTAACCAATTGTAATATATCGTATATCAAGAAGCGGCTGTTAGTTGTATTACTTATAGCAAAACGCATTCGAAGAAAATCCAGTCATCGCCAAAGTTGAGATGACTTTAACTGTCTAATTTGAATATATTAATCTCTTCAACATCACTAGTTTGTGTAACCGGATGTTCTGGTACCAGGTGTTAAACCTCTAAAATCATACTGACTATTAGCATGGAAATAACTTTTCATTGTTCCGTTTACTTATTAAATAGAGGGTAAATTATTCGGTTCAAGTTCACTAAATAATTAAGGAGAACGGTCATTTTATCCTCGGATATATGACTTAATATTCGTACAACTTTCAAAATATGTAAGGATTAATAGTGATAATCAGCAGTGCTCAAGTATAATTCAAGTAACATATTAGACATGTTACCGAGACCATGGAAACAAGCATACTAAATGTCTAATTTCTCATGAGATATTGTTACCAAGAGCTTTTTTAAAAACAAAATCAGGTATTCAAAATTCATTCATAGTTTCATTATCATTATTATGACTACTACTACTACTAATGCTGGTATTATTGTATAACTCATCACTCAGTGAAACAGTCTAGATGTGTTCTTTTGGATACTCGATAAACAAAATGTATTATTTAAGAAAATTCAAAGATTAACTAATCAACAATTAGGAAAAAACAATCATAAGTTGATATTTAGTTGAAGTCATGAGTCAATTGAAGCTAGACCACCATAGAAGACCTGGAAGCACTGGACGGCTGTTTCGTCTTATTGTAGGACTCCTCAGCTTCCAGGTCTTCCATAGTGATCTAGCTTCCATTGACTCATGACTTCAACTATATAAAATTACTACAATCTCCACAAAACCCCCTTCTAATAAGTTATGTTCTAATAGACAGAATGAAGCCATATATATACCAAGGGAAATGTCATTTTCCAGTTAATTTTAGTGAATCATAACTGTGGGGACATCTCATAGATTCAAGTGCTCTGCCTCGAGACTGGTAGGTCCTGGGTTCGAATCTCGCGAGGCGAGGTCGTGGATGCGCACTGCTGAGGAGTCCCACAATAGGACGAAACGGCCGTCCAGTTCTTCCACATTTTCCATGGTGGTCTAGCATCAATTGACTCATGATTTCAATCATAGATTAAAATTAAAAAAGGTGTAAATACAAGCTGATAGTTAGAATACAGCGGTTTAATATGTTGACACATACTGATATCTTTTAGGAAAATGGTCATGAGTATTAAAACTAGTAATCAGTTTAAATGTTATCATAATAAGTGCTATGTCAAGGTTTACAGTTTCTATTTACGAGGAAAAGTTATTTAACTGTAAAATATTTCAGTACAATACTATAATACATACCAATTAAAATAGGGGACACGACATTTAGACTCTTACTCAAAGTCAACGTACAACGTATGGTAAGCAGTAGAAATATCTGTACTACTCAGAAAGTACAGAGTAAGAATGATTGTGACAAACGCAGTAAATTCTCAATTCTATCTCTATAGATTGTATATGACAGATGAATCTATCCTAAACTGCAAAACTGACCCTAGACGCAATCTTGAAACACACATCAACCCAATTGTACGGCTTATGACCCCTGACTAAATTAATGTGACCAAAACGCCAGTGTGAATCCGTCTTAGCACCAACAATTTTCAGTCGACGACTGTGAAGCACTGGGCAACCGTTTCGTCTTACTGATTTGTTTTTTTAGAACAAGGAAATCTTATACTTTTATGATATTCATTTCATGAACACGACTACTTTGGTATCTTGTAGTAATTATTTATAGTTATATAATATATCATTATGGGCCAGGGTAATTTTGCACTGGTTTTCATTAGAACCAGACACCATCCAGACTTTCACGTGGCAACCCAGACATTACAGCTCAATCCCGTTTAACAGGAGAGCCAGACACTGCCCAGGCTTAACCCAAGCAGTACAGCTCAATCCCATAGGAGAACCAGACACTATATAGGCTTCAACGCTACAATGCGAACAGTACAGATCAATCCTGTGGCGCAACCACACAGGTACCAAGCACCCTGGTGGACCATCTTCTAATAAGTAAATCAATTAAATGCCGAATACTTCATTGAATCTTATAAGTAATTTGACAGTTGTAAATGTATTTATCAAAAGATTAAAGTAATTTTTACGAATCAATGTTTTTACAGTATTTGTTACATCTAAAGCATCAACAAGATAAGAAATACTATAAATTATACTCTTTATAGTAGAAGTATGCTGTTTAACTAGCTGCAGCCTCAGCAACAGTAGGTCTCAGTATAAACAAAGAGAAAAGCAAGACTCTCCAATACAATACAGCATGCACCAATCGAATTGCACTTGACGGAGAAGCTTTGGAGGATGTGGAAAAATTTACATATCTGGGTAACATCGTTGAACACGGTGGATCTGATACAGATGTAAAGACTCGGATCGGCAAACAAGAACAGTATA